ATTTAAATGAATATTTTCGAAGATATTACAGACTTAAAATGCAGGGACATAGCGGTTGCGGCGGTACCGGCCGGTTTGTATTGTCTAATGACAAAAAAGCTGTGATTGTTGTATATAAAGACATTCTATAGTATATTTACTATTAGCATTGCACCCGTGCGAAGCATAGTGTACAAATAATACCATTAAACCAACTCCTTAACCCCTATCCCGGTATGTTTGAAGAAGTTTCACTTCAGTAGCGTGTTCTATAATTACACGTTGTATTTTTTTTTATACTTATATTGACTTATATTGTGCAATAAGGGAAACAATGATATAGAAATTAATTAACTTGTTGAGTGCTTAAATTTTCAAAAAACAAATGTATGTATTATTTAAATCCATATTGGTAAAACATCCATTTCACGGCTTATTTAGTCGCATATGCGCGCATTTGCATTTACTAGCTTGTGTTACATTATTGCGACTAAATGATCACGCGATTAAAAAATTACAATGCGCCCTAGGCCTAACGGCAAAGAATAATAGATTTGGTGGAGAAGATCAGACAAATTTCGTCAGAGCAAGCTGGGCAGTAGTCTATCCCTCCTATTCCAGATAAGCTACAGTATATCCGCGAAAAGTGTATGACACTTTTAAAAAACAATTAAAAAACAGGCTAAGGGGACTTGTTCGGGACGGCCCTCCCTCCTCCCACAAAGATGAGAATAAAATTGAACACAATAAAGAAATTTTGAATCATGTGGAAGACAAGGTAGAGTAAATGTTGAGAAAAATAGGAAGAATGAGTAGTAAGTAAAGTGGAAGAGGTAAGCAAAAAATATGCACCATAATAAAGTGCCAGAGTGCGATGTTCTAAAGTTTGCAGGTGTGGAAAGAAAACCAAATCCAGGCAGAAGGATATGCTATTGTAGATAATCTGCTAATTCAGTCCAGTTCATTTTCCAGTTGCTCTCATTCATTGATCGAAAATTAACTGCATAATGTTGCAATGCGAAGACGTCAACAGCAAATGAAGAAGTCAAGTCCAGAGAAAGCGATTTCGTTGTAGAGATTAGTTGCTTTAGTATAGTATCAACATTGACTTCAATGCTCTCTCATTGTTGGCTAATCTGCAGATTTAGACAAGAAGAACAAATTAAGTACACCGTTAAATAAAGATGTGTAATTAAATAAAAACGCATTGAAAAACAAATAAAATAGTAAAATTTTAATGTTTTTCTGTGGACTTAGGTATAGGTGAAAGGAAAAATAATGGATACACAATGTACAATGAATAGGTAAATAAAGATCAGCTGAAAAATTAAATAATGCTAGAAAATTTAAAGTATCTTTTCAATAAAATTGTTTTCTCCTTTTCTCTAATTTTTTGCTTCTCATGTTAGAAAATAAGTTCCGAAGAGTGTATGGTAAAATTATTGTGTAACGTGATGACTACCAGTAAATTTAATAACACGCTTATCAATGTCTTCAGAAACTTTCTATTATTAATAAAACAACTCAACAGTTGTTGGGCAGAAGACAATTGTTGGATGAAGTGAATTATTTTTGAATAATCACCATCACCAATATTTTATCCAGTGCGACTAATCAAATAGGTTGAATTTTAGAAAACTGTATTGTACAAGAAGGTAGATGAATATTTATACTTTTCTTACCTCCAGGGAGATTGTTACACTCACTACTTGTGAGGAGCATGTAAACAAGATGCATAAGGAATCGCATGGCGAAAACTCACCATGCCAACGGCAGCGTGGTTAAGGGCAAAGAAATTTTTTAAGAAAAACAATTTACAAAACGAAGACGGTCCTGCGCGTGAATTGGCAAGGTAGGTGTGCACGAAGTTTTATAGAAGCCTGTAGTACCGCTAGAGGTAGACATGAAACCCTCGACAATGATATTTACAAAATTAAATAAAACAAAGAGATACTTCATAAAATGTCACAGAAACTTGTATCAGCTTTTGCTACTTCGATCCAAACCATTATTCAATTATATAGTATAATAATATAATTGTTGATTGCACTGTTAGATTTGAATTGATTTGGAATTGAAGATTGAATTGTTAGTTAGATTTGAATTGAAGATCGAACACCAAAAATTTGCCTTTCCGTGGTTTAAATACAATCCGCACAAAATAGACAACGCTTATCGTGCAAAATTACCCCTTCCCCGTCGCTACGCATCACTCTGGGATCCTCGGTGCATTTCGTAAGACCTCTTATAGATTATCACTAACCACAGCAACACCATTGCACACACACAAAATACTCACAACCGAGAGGTGAATTTTACGTAAAATCGCGAGGTTAAATAGATTCTTTCCTTCCGACACATTATACGATAACATTGATATCACACCAATCCCCACATGCATAAGGACCCTACAAAACCAAAAACTAAAATTCCCTTCCCCCAGCCAAATTATTGGCAATTACACTCAGAAAAATGCTGTAAGAAAAATTACTATAACGTTGTAGAGGTCGTTTTGTAGGAAATGCGACTCAAGTTTGTAGTAAGGTTAACTAACGGTAGACTTAAATTTGACTATAAAATTGTAGTGGTAAACTGTAGGAGAAATATCGACAGGGGCTCAGGCAAATTTCTTACAATTAGAATGAAATAGTTACGACAACAACTTTGTGAATTTCATTATAAATTGTAGAAAGGTTAAACAAATTTTGTAGAAAATATAAGGAAAACATTAGTAATTTTTATCAAATATTTATTGCGTTTCAGTTTTTTGTTCTGACTCAGTGCAAACATATCTAGAACCGTAGTAGGGTGTGATCTCGTATGTAATATTTGCTAATATTGTGCAATAAGTTTCTTCGCTTGTATGGTGTTACTACGCGTTAGTGTTAGTTAAGTGGCTTCTACTGATCTGTTCGTTCTTGTTAAGTACGGTAAGTTTATTAATTGCAGTAAAATTAATAATTGAACCTTTCAATTGCACCTAGCGAGGCGAGACATTTGACAAAGGAAAAATTACAAAAAAATGTTATCAATTTTACAGGATAATAGAAACATATCCGTCTTTTTAACGTTCATCTGAAATCTATTTTTTTAACAGCCTGCTGCTCATTATTATGGATGCTTTTACAAGAGGAAAATTGTCTGAGTGGGGTTTTCAAGATTTAGCTGATGAATGAATTCGATAGAAGTCATTTACTTGAAACAGAATGGGTAGAAGTATTTATTATTTATTTTCAGAAAAGGACGTCTACTTTGTAATAAGCTTTCAAGTTTTTGTTCCTTGTTATAAGTTAAGTTATTATGTTTTATGCTTTTTTAAATACATGATTTAAATAACTGATTGTTTTATTTGTACACTTTTCTACATATGCATTATAGCTTCTGGTGAGATTAAATTGATTAAAAATAAAATCAATAATTGTAGTGATTAATACATCATTACAACCCAAAGGTAGACTACACAATTCTAGAAATAAACACTACAATATATTTTCAAATGTACTGCAATGCAATGGTAAAGTCAACTACTTTTTGTAAAGATACGTAACACTATATTGTACAATTCATTCTTAATTGTTGTAGAGAAATATTCCACAATTTTGTGTATTTTTTTTTCTAATTATTGTATTGAAATATTCCACAATGAAAAGTAATTTTTAATAGAAACTTGTAGTACATATTCTTTAACGATGTGGTAGAGAGACAAACAGTTTGTAGACAATAGAGTAATTACGATATTATATTAATTTTCACTACAACTTGTTTCTGTCCCTATATTCGCTACTACTTGTAATGAAAAGTTCTACAATTGTAGAAGTTTGTTCTACAGTTTTCTCTGAGTGTACTCTCGACCTCCTTGGCGAATATCTGAATTACCTGGATAACCTGCACAACTCCCTAAAATAACCCCACTCATACAAACACACACACACACACACAAGCAAACACATAGTTCATTTTCAAATACACAATCCCATAAATCTCAGAAAAACAATTGAATGAAGAAGAACTTAATTGATCCTATAACGGCTTGAGGTAGAGGGGTTTTAGTCGGTAGGTTAGGTCAAGAGGATCTTAATTGATCCCATAACGGCCTGAGGTAGAGGGGTTTAGTGGGTAGGTCCGAGGACATCTTCCTCGGGAATCCGACACTACCCAGTCGATGGCTAGGTGTCTTTTGAAGATTTCCCCTTCTACGAAAACAAAAAAAAATGAACCACGGCCGGAATTGAATTTACCTCTACTTTCAATTATGTTTTTCGTGAAAACGGTGAACTTTGGAATATACAAACATTTACTTAATTTTTAAGTTTTATAGTGCTCTCTCACCTCCTTCAAGTTCGGCACTTATTTCTGTATACCCTGTATAAAAAAAATCAGTAAAAAATGAGGAATAAAAAGAAATTCATCTGGTAACACTGACTTTTGCTGGTTAGCTTCTTGTCGCCGTAGCGTGCGATAAGGAACCTCCTTCCAAAAATGCCTACAATGAAATGTGTAATTTCTATGTCCAATGAGATTTTTGCCTGTACATTTTACATGTTACTTTGAGTAAAAAGTAATTTCCCATAAGATGATTGCAATTATTCAATTATAAAAGCATTTTTCAGTAGCTCCTTCAAAATTGCTGTGAGGATTTTCCAGCTTTATTGATGACTTACATTTTCTGGTTAGCAATCGGAATCAATAAAATTGCTCCTCTGGCTTATTTATTTTTTTCAATACCGCTGTTTTTTAACCATTCAGAAAAAAGAATGCAACATAAATGCAAACTGTACTAAACAAAAGACGGTTTCGTACAAAGATAAACCGCAGAGCATTATTATTATCATCGCGGAAACAAAGAATATACAGCACAATAGGCATATGGAAACGAAACGCGGCTCATATTAAAGGCTGAAAGGAAAAACCACGCTGCAAAAAACTATCTTCATATTGTCGAAAGCACGCTCCGATAAATACGAAAGAATCTTTCAAGATTATTACTTTTTATTCTCGCTTTTTAGCTTCTCTGATGCCTTTCGCTAGAAAAACAATCTCGCATCTGTTCCATTCTCGAGCCAAGATGAACGAAGAGCAACGGTCGAACAAAATTAACGGACGTTTTTCATTTTTCATTCGTCGGTTTAAGTGGAAATATTATGACGATTAGGATTATTAAGCATGTATTTGTTTAAATTGTAAAAAGTTTTATTATTGTTAAATTTAGTATCAAATATTCTCCGCATTGTAAAAATGTCGTAGATACAATTTTTAGCGAAATGAAGCTAGTCTTGAGAAAATCCAACAGCCTGGGCGAAACGTCGACTGCGGTTTTTTAAATTAATAAAGTACTTAACATCAATATTGCTTTAATTTAAAGGGTGGATCTTGTTAAATTGCAGAAAATAGTGGACTGTTCTGATCGCCATGAATTCAAAGTCACCAATTTGAGTTGACAAATCTACTGTAGTTTAAAATGATATCAAGATTATGAATATTTGCTTGCTGAATTTTTCGATGGAGCCTTCCACCAATTATTTTCTATACTAAAAACGAAGGTCTTCTTTTTTTGCTTTGGTTAATTTTATCTTTAGAATTAAAGAAGGCATAATGGGTTAGTTTCGAAGATTACTGTTTTAAATGTTTTAATAACAGGGGCAGATCCAGGATTTTCAGAAGGGATATTTACGAATGTTTCTGTAATTTTTGCAACAATATTTTATCCAGTGTAGCGTAAATGGCACCTGGTGCGAGGCCTAAATTTACTGCCCTTTCTATTTTCATAATTACATAAGACCTATTAATTACTTTTTTCTGTTTTTTGTTTAAACATAAAAACGAACGTTATGAATTTTTCTTCAAATCGTGTTGTTATTACTACTCATACTGCATCTCCAAATGATTTAACAATGCTATTATGATTTTCAAATTGCAAAATACGTTGAAAACTACGATTTTGACGTTTCGGATCTATTACAAAAACGTCCCTATGACTGGGAAATTAATAAATTCCAGAAGTTGCTCTATGCAGGGCTACTGCGTGGGTAAAAGTGCAAAAGAAATTTCATTTCCATATGTTACAAGGTTTGTAAATTACAACAAAATCATTAATTTCAATTTAAAAAGTGTTAATTTAATTAGGAACAAACCTAAAATTATGCATGTGAATTTACGAAGGTCTCACAACTTTAGTCCAGTCGGTAGAGAATTTTCCCGATATAAATTTGTTACCGGACGGAAGTTGTTCCTATTGTAGCCGGGGAAATGTTAAGCATTCCTGTTCCTAAGCATTTTTTAAACTGTGCGTTAACAAATGGGGGAGGTCCAAATTTGTCAAAAATTAGGTTTTTAGATCTAGAAGGCAAGGTGTGCTTTTTAGAAAGATAAGTTTCAAATAAAAATTGTAGAGAAATTAAAAACCTTTAATTGAGCTGCGGTTCGATTAATTTTGTCAATTAGTTACTGCAAAAATCTCAAAAAATCGTAAAAAATTGTCATTTCTTGTATATTGATTGTTTATTGCAAAAATGACTTTTTTAATGATTTTATCATATTGAAATGATGGTTTTTAAGTTTTGAATTGAACTAGTCTTTGTGGACGTAAATTGGTCAATTTATGCAATAACTAATTGACAAAATTAAATGGTCCGCGGCTCAAATTAAAGGTTTTTAATTTCTCTACAACTTTTATTTGACACTAATCTTTCTAAAAAGCATAACTTGCCTTCTATATCTAAAAACCTGGTTTTGCCAACATTTGACCTCCCCCATTTATTAACGCACAATTTTTCGAAGTTTAAAAATATACAGAAATGCTTAACTTTTCCCCGGCTACAAAAGGAACAACTCCCGTCCAGTAACAAATTTATGTCGGGAAAATTCTCTATCGACTGGACTACTTACTTCATTTACTTAAATAATTCAGAATAGTGAGAGGATTTTGAGGATTTATCTCTGGATTTGCAAAGAAATGTAATTATTTCAGTTCTTCAAATAGATTAGACCGTCACTACCCCGATCTTCAGTACTGTTATTGTCGAATTCTTTCTACATCTTTGCAACATTTAAAAATTTCAATAAAGCAGGATTTTTGATCACTTCACTGGTGACATTTATGATCTAATATTATGTAGTGTTAAATACATATTCCTTCATATATGTACATACATGGAACATAAAAAGTGTTTTTTTTTATAACATACTGGCAAAATCTACAGACCACCGGACGATTCTTGTTTCTGCTTTTTGGCACGCTTTTCTGCGATTGTTACGATTTCAGCTGCTATAATTGTAGGTATTCTGCGAGATACATTTTTGAGTTATGGGAGGTTTAGCTATAATAATGATCTTCGTCCCTATTACACAGAGAACCATAAGGATTCGACCATTCGACCTTTCGTTTTTGTTATAATGGACACGAAAAAATGCCGTTTTCACCGTTGCTTTTCACAGATTTTTATCAACACAAAAATCTGGGTTTCTTTTTGAACCAAGACGGTAGTGTCTTGTATTAGAATATGTAACGGTACTGTGTGACGGACCTGAATCCATCTAATACCGAAGAAAACATTTTTCTCACACCCACATTTGTGCCGACCGGTACTCATGACCCCCTTTACTCCCCCCTTATGATACGCCGCTGCTTTTATCCATAAATATGAATGACAATTCGACTGATTACCGGTTGTAATAGTTATTACCCATGCAAAATAAATTACCTACCTGCGACGCGCTTATGAGATCCAAAAAGATCGAAATCGCGATCCGCGTCTGGCAGTTTCGACAGAATACAGACCATTTCGAGTTATTTTATTCGATTATGGTAACGTGCCTATCACGTTGAGGTTAGCTACGCCGGGATTCGTTTCAGCAAGTAGATATCCATATATTTAAATGGACCTTGTTGGAGCATACGTAATCCTAAAATGTAGCATCATACAACAGATGGCGTTTACCGCGCCATTTGTGGTATTTTCTAAAACACGCTGTTAAGACAGCAGGTAAAAGTTGGTCTGTGTTCTGTTGGAGCTGCCTGCGACGCGCTGATGAGATCCAAAAAGATCGATCCGCGTCTGACAGTTTCGACAGAATATAGACCACTTCAAATTATTTTAACCTAATGAATCATTTCATACTAAAAATTAGAAAATCCCTGTCCCTGTCGTGAATGCGCTATGTTTTGATAAACTATTGGCAACTTTTCTCTTACCTTGGTATTTGTTCCTCCATGAGCTATTATATTCACTGAAAGCGTCTGCACTGACGTTAGCCATGCCGCGTCTATTTCTCTACCTTTGACGTAGTCGTTTTCACCCTTGAGTGCTCCTCACGAACAGGATATCATTGTAATACTTGATACCGTTCTAACGTATGTTGGTCCACTCGTCCGTCGTCTATCCATCCATCTGTTTATCTGTTCGTAGGTCCATCCTCCAGCTGCTTGCCGCCCGCCGTCGTCTCTCTTTCTTGGCTCCCGAACGTTACTTCCACTGGCTGCATCCGAAAAGTCGCCGCCATCACTTCACCGATTTTCAACAACGCTGCCTTCTTGCTCAACTTCATATTCCAACTAATATCTTGTTCTCTTCCTGCAGAATACTCTAGTTTTGTACTATCGCCTTTGCTATAATTTCTAAGGGACACTTATTTCTGAAAAAAAAAAAAAAGAAAATAGTTGAAGAATTAGGTTAACGCAGCGGCATTCACGGCGCCCCTGGACAATTTTTTGATAGCACCCCTTGTAAAGACGGAGTTGTTGGGGTTTGAAAAAGAAATATCTATTTATTATTAAACTGGCTGGGTCCGCTGGGCTCTAGAAGTGTATGGAAGAAAGGAAAATGAAAAAAGTAGATGAAAAATCAGAAATTTAAAATTCGCACAGGAATACAAGAAAATGTGGAAAGAAGGGGAGGAAAACCACATTATTTGAAAGGCTGAAGAGCAAAGACAAAAAAGGAATTACTTTTAACATCAAGATTTAGACTGGGAAGTAACAATAAGACGGCATGGTATTGGGAAGAAGAAAAGAAGAAAATATGCAGGCTGCGAAAATTGGAACGAGAGACGCTTGGATATATTTTTGAGAGATGTGGAAAAACAGGAAATGGTGCACAAAAATGGAAAATTCAAATGGAATTAAAGGTTGGTGTAAAAAGTATGAGGGAAATCTTATGGAGGAAGAAAATATTAGAAAAACGAGAAGGATAAAATTGTTTAGTTTGTAAAATTCATGTGCAAGTATAAAATAAATGTATATGCACCTTGTACATATGATCATCGTCATAAGGCTGTCAGTCCTGAGACTGGTTGGACACGCACCTCCACTCCTTCCTATCCTGGACTAATCTTCGCATTTCCTTAACACTATAACATTCCACATCCTTAACTTTTTGCGAACAGTAATCTAATCTAGGTCTACCTCTATTCCTCTTAACTACTGATTCTGCCACTAATATGTCCCTGACTGGACCTCCATACCTAAGAAAGTGTCATATTAACCTATCTCGCCTATTCCTTATTGACTTCCATAGAGGTCAGGTAATAATTCATTGTGAATTTAATATAACAAGTGTACTTTTTTAATTTATGAATTTTATATATTAATATGTTTTAGGCAGTGTCAAGTCACTTAACTATCAATACTATATCTATCAGGATTTGGGTGTTTCGCCAAATAAAATAAGGAAAAGGAATGAAAATTACTTCATAGGTACTATTTATTTGCTGGTCTATTCTTATGAAAGACGTTAATATGTTTCTACAAAATGCCATAAAGATAGCTTTCCATTTTATATTTTGGATATATTGGCCTGATTGATTCTAGTTTCTTCTCCTCATATTTTCATGTATGGTACTGTCTTAAAATAAAGTTTTTCATAACTTTCAGTATAATTTTCTTCTCCTATTTGTACATACCTACTATGGCCATACTTGAAATCGCTATCTCATTACTCATTTCGTTTAGAAGTTAGAAAGAATCCGCTGACAATCTGCTTCCACTGGATCTTTCCGGCACAGAATCCTAAAACAAAGCAATAGATAAGAAATCTGATAAGATTGACTATTAATATTACACAAACATGCAAAAGCACCCTCTAATATACAAAAAGTTCACTTTTTCTTACTGTATATCCATACACCATAAGCAGAGGTGGATTAAATATCGAGAGCGCCCTAGGCCAGCTCCTCATAGACGCCCCTCTGGCGGTCATATATTTTGCACAATAATAAAGTACGGGGCGCGTTGCGGAATCTATATATCTTTAAAAAAAGTATGATTTTTTGTAAGTAAGTACTTCCTTAATTTTTTTAGTTTAAAGACTTCCGCGCTCGCCCCTTTCTAGTCTTGCGCCCCTAGACATACGCTTAGTTTGCCTTACGAATAATCCGCCACTGACCATAAGTGTATGTTTTCTGCTTGTGAATTTGTTTTCTTTTCAACGAGATTTATTTGACAACACGTGTTTTGCTGTGAGGTAACCATTAGGAAATGAAAAGGCACAATAGGGCACTCTGTTTGTGTTGCATTCACGGTAAGTGATTTTGCAGAATACGCGACGACAAAGTTGACAAAGAATGTAAAGCGTTTCGTTTTTGTTCGTTGCAGGCGTCTTTTTGTCGTTTATTTTTCCTAGAACATGCATTAATATAGGTATAATGAAAAGCATGTCATTTATATGAGTGGGACCGTTTGAGATCTTCCATTAAATGGTAATGCTCCGTATATTTATAGACACGTACTTTTTGTGGAGTTGCACAATGGAGAAAGACATTATCAATAATAAACTAGGAATATGTGAAATCTTTATACAGGGTAAAAGTAAATTTGATACATTCCATGGAGGGGTTAATGTAGGGATCATTTGCGATCGATTTTGTTATGTGGTACACCAGCTTAGGGGTTGGCAAAGTTTTGAGATAGAAGAACTAAATTGTCAAAGAAAACAAAGCAGCGAAGGTATCAAACAGTCATACTGTTATTGCGAGGACAGGTTGGACACAGACCTTTCTATGTTGAGCTAATCTATTATTTCCTAAAAACAGTAACATCACACAATTTTTATTATTTACGAACAGTATTCCTATCTAAGTCTTTCTCATCTCTCAGAAGGTGTCATACTATCATATTTCTCCTTTTCCGTAGCGCATTTTATTCTCCTACCCTTTTCTAGAGGTCTACCTCTACCTCTTGTAATCCCTGCTTGTCCTTGTAATATGTCTCTAACTGCAGCTGCTGACCGAAAATGGTATCATAACAACCTATTTTGCTTATTTCTTATTGAAGGTCTTCAGCTCTAAGAGTGGTTGGGTACACATTTGCACCTCTTCCTATCTTGAGCCAATCTTCGAAATTCTAGAAGGCTTTATCAATTTAGATCTCTATTTGCGATCAGTAACGTAATCGAGGTCTACCTCTACCCTTTCTAATCCCTGCCTTTCCTTCTAATATATCTAACTAATGCTTCAATTTCTGAAAAGGGCATCATAACAACCTATCTCGCTTATTTCCTTTTGAAAGTATTCATATCAAAGGGTGGTTGGGTACACATTCGCACTTCTTTCTATCTTGCGTCAATCTCCGCAATTTTAGAAGGTTACATCAATCTAGATCTCTATTTGCGGTTAGTAATGTAATCGAGGTCTACCTCTACCTCTTGTAGTTCCTGCCTTTCCTTCTAATATGTCTCTAAATAGTGTTTCATTTCTGAAAAGGGTATCATAACAACCTATCTCGCGTATTTCCTACCGAAGACCTTTATCTCAAAGACTGGTTGGATACACATTTGTACTTCTTCCTATCTTGAGCCAATCTTCGCAATTCCGGAAAAACACATCAATCTAGATCTCTATTTGCGGTCAATAAAGTAATCGAGGTCTACCACTACCTCTTGTAATTTCTGCCTTACCTTCTAATATATCTCTAAATAGTGCTTTACTTTTGAAAAGGTCATTATAACAACCTATCTCGCTTATTTCCTACTCAAGGTCTTCATCTCGAGGGGTGTTTGGGTACACATTTGCACTTCTTCCTATCATAAACCAATTTTCGCAATTCCGGAAAAACACATCAATCTAGATCTCTATTTGCGATCACTAATGTAATCGAGGTCTACCACTACCTCTTGTAATTTCTGCCTTTCCTTCTAATATATCTCTAAATAGTGCTTTACTTCTGAAAAGGTCATTATAACAACCTATCTCGCTTATTTCCTACTCAAGGTCTTCATCTCGAGGGGTGTTTGGGTACACATTTGCACTTCTTCCTAACATAAGCCAATCTTCGCAATTCCGGAAAATCACATCAATCTAGATCTCTATTTGCGATCACTAATGTAATCTAGGTCTACCTCTACCTCTTGTAATCCTTGCTTGTCCTTCTAATGTATCTCTAACTAGTGCTTCATGGCCGATAAGCACCTCATAATAACCTATTTCGCTTATTTTTTATTGAAGGTCTTCAGCTCGAAGTATAGTTGGGTACACATTTACACCTCTTCCTATCTCGAGCCAATCTTCGTAATTCTAGAAAACTTCATCAATCTAGATCTCTATTTGCAGTCAGTAACGTAATCGAGGTCTACTTCTACCTCTTCTAATTTCTGCTTGTCCTTCTAATATGTCTCTAACTAGTGCTACATGACTGAAAAGCACCTCTTGTAATCCCTGCTTGTCCTTGTAATATGTCTCTAACTGCAGCTGCTGACCGAAAATGGTATCATATCAACCTATCTCGCTTATTTCCTATTGAAGGTCTTCAGCTCGAAGAGTGCTTGGGTGCACATTTGCACCTCTTCCTATCTTGAACCAATCTCCGCAATTCTAGAAGGCTACGTCAATCTAGATCTTTATTTGCGGTTAGTAATGTAATCGAAGTCTACCTCTACCTCTTGTAATTGTAATTGTTTCTGAAAAGGGCATCATACCAACTTTTTTCGCTTATTTCTTATTGAATATCTGGATCTAAAGAGGCGTGAGAGAATACCTATGTATTGAAGTTCTGTTGGAAACAATATCTTCAGTTTTACAAATAGTTTCCTGAATCATGCTGCCCAATGTAATCGATTCGGCTGTTGATTACTTTTATAAATCGATTTTGGATATGACTGATAAACATTTTCGACTAACTAACATTCATTGAATCGATTCGGCACATTACTAATTACCGTTAGTAAACTGCTGGTTCCCATTATGGCATAAAGCGGTAGTTTTGGAAGACTGAATTAATTTTGCTATAGATTTCTACGTGAATTCGGGCATTAACTAACGAGGCCTGTCATTACGTTATTCCCATCGAGTATCGACGGACACTGACATACTGTCGTTAATAAAATCGGGTCCAGTCCTTGCGTAATTACGTTAAATAATTGAATGCGCAACGATCGATATTGCTACAACATCTGGCTATCATTTACAGTAGCACCAACATTAACATCAACGACGGCATTAGCAGCAGCAGCAGCAGCAACAATAACAACAACGGAATACTACTCCACGATTTGCGGACCAATAGCAATCGCAATCAGTTTGCATGATCGATGGGCAAGTGTATGCACACGATGCGAACGCATTATTACGTTCATTGCAAAATGAACCGGAAGCAAACAGAAGCATTTATGGAATACTTAAATCATCCACCTCGACGAACAACAAACGTTTATTTTATGCTTCCGCACTGTATACGTAATAGATGGATACTTATGTATTATGTATATGTATGCTGGATACATACATGCATACATCCATCGGTATCGACAATATTATTCCGCGTCCGAATTCTAAACCAATTTCGACTTGAACAAAGGAATATTAATGAACATTTCAATCACATTTGTAGATTTAGCTACTGATCTAAGTATTACACAGGCTGTCCTAGTACAACGTGGAGAGAAAACAACAAAATTGTTGATAATGCATTATTTACGAAATTTGTGATGGAAAATAGAAGGAGAGGAGTCGGGAAGTAAATGAGTAGGGTAAAATGGGATGGACCAGAAAATTTTAAAGGAGATATAGTAAATACTGCTCTTGGCAAAAATATCCGATTTGCCTTAAAATGGAAAGTTGGTTAAACCTTGAAAGAGTATTTCCAAGTCTGCTATAATACATAGCAAATGAAATAGAAAATAATCCCTAACATCATCAGGATCTAAATAACTACGGACGAATGTCATTCGTAACTATTTTTCGATTGCAAAATTTCCATCCTTATATTATCATCATAAGGTCGTCAGTCCTAAGACTGGTTGGACACGCACCTCCACTATTTCCTATCCTGAGCTAATCTTCGCATTTCCTTAAAATTAGGACAACCTACATCCTTAATTATTTGCGAAGAGTAATTTAAACTAGGTCTACCTCTACCCCTTCTAACTCCCGTTTCTGCCTCTAATATGTCTCTGACTAGACCTTCATGCCTAAGAAGGTGTCCTACCAACCTATCTCGCCTATTTTTTATTGACTTCCACAGAGTCCTCTGTTCTCCTATTCTTTCCAATACCTCTTCATTTCTAACCTTTTCTACCCACGTTATCGTCATCATCCGCCTATAACACCACATTTCGAACGCTTTTAACCTTTTCTTTTCCGCCGCGCCCACTGTCCATGTTTCGTACCCGTACAAAGCCGTGCTCCAAACTTACACCTTTACCAACCTTTTTCGAATTTCTAAATTAACCGTTCGCGAGCATTTATTAAAGGCGACACGACCCTGCGCTATCCTCTGCTTTATATCCCTAGTACTCCTTCCATCCTGACTTATCTGACTTCCTAGGTATCTAAAATCAGCCACTTCTTCTAATTTTTCGTCTCCTATCTTTACATTCGCTCTGGTAGGTAATAAAGACTTGATTTTTTGAGTTTTTCTATATATAGGTATATACGAATCCCGTATTTCTTGCGGTTTTTGCATCAGTTCAAGAATTTTAAAAAATGCTTTTGTTAATTTTTCTTTTAAAACTAAAACAATGAAGTTATAAATGCGAATGTGAGCTTGTTTGTTTCACCATTTCACTCCTTAACTAC